TCGGACTGTTGTCCTCATTTTCACGACGTGCCATGCCTCTTTCTGATGTCTCAGCTATCTCCATTTAATTCAACTCTCCAAGTTTATTTTGACCACTGCCATAGTTAAGTATTAAAATCACAACTCTTTTGGTTAAGTCAATGGATCCAAACAACGCTTTTATCCAATGAAAAATACACTGAGCCCTGTGAGGACATCAGTGCATGAAGTTTTGGGACTTATAAGCTTAATGTCTCAGTTTACATTTTTTTACCAGATCTCATATTGCAATATTTGTTGTTATTATTGCTTTTCTTTAACACTACGCATTACTCGTTCCCATATTGTATTCATTTTTATGCTTGGTCCACTTAAAAGATTTCTGTAGACTATCATATGTGCTGATTCCTTAAGTTTTCGTATTTTCCAGAGATATTCTCAGTCTATTATCTCAACCTTATCCAAAAAGGCGGCGGTGATCTCCCTTTTCCCTCCATATGTCGTCAGCTACGCCTGATTTTTCTATTTCCCCTCATGTTACGGCTTTATGATGTTGCAGTCTTATCTTAAGGAGGCAACAGGTTTCTCCTTTATATTTCTTACAACAGCTACAGGGGATGGCGTACATGCAATCCTTAGTTATGTTCTCCTCTATGGAGGTCTTTCTCGGAAGAACTGATTTCGAAGTGTTGAACCACTTTTGAGGGTAGTCCTGATGCCATGTGGAACACAGATCTTTTTTTTATCTCGCCGATAATCCCTTCACCTTCTTGATATAGCAATAAAGATGAAGACAACAGTCCATAAAATGTTAGTAGTGTAAATAATTACAATACTTTATCTCAGAAATATAGAAAGATATAGAAAGACTGTATTGAAGTCATTCCTAGGTCAGCTACTAAGAAAATACCTCACCGTGTCGGGTGAGGTAATTTTTTCTCCGGAATCTCTCTTGCATATCTATGTTTACCATTCGTCCAAGCTTAGAATATTGATGGCATATATTTTCCGGTGCCCCGCCTATTTTTCTGTAGCTCCTTGTTAAGATCCAAAGAAGAATCAGCAATATTGCTGGTCCTGATCTGTCGGCTAAGCTTCAGTCACTTGTGCACCGCCGTATGGTTGTGTCTTTGTGCATTTTTTATAAATACTTTCATGGTATTCTAAGTTGAAAAGTGGTAACATTTAAGTATTGCGATCATCCTAAGAAATATCAACATAGACTTTCATCTCAGACCATATCACCAGAGAAGCGTATCAGAGGATTAACTTGGAAATAGCTTCGTGCATACGAAGTGCAGAATAGGATTGTTAGTGACTGCTTCCAAAATGTAAATAGGTGGTCGACCCAAGTGAAATTATGGGGTGCACAAATGGGACAACAAAATAATAGGAATTTATATAAGCGTTCCACTCGAGTGGGGAAAACCAAAGTATCTCACATCGTCGCGTTCTCATCTCCCTCACGCCGACATTAATTGAGGATGTCCGATAGTAAAGAATAATTTTTGCTGGAAAGATTGAATCTCATTTTCTTATTAGTCGTTACAGCAATAACATGGAGTAATGGTAATATTAATTATAATATAATTATAATATTAATTATGATATAATTATAATATTAATTATAATATAATTATAATATTAATTATAATATAATTATAATATTAATTATAATATAATGATTACAACAAGAGGCTTTTTTGGCCTTCATGAAATAAGTATTCACATATGGAAAATACTTTTTCTAAGTAAAAAAAATGATAAGCAGATAAGTATGCATAGAAAAAAATTATGCGATTCAATCACTTTGTATCTTGTCTACTTTCTTTGGAGAAGTAATTATGCACGTGTTTCATATCTATCTAGTTACATCAGTCTCTTCATTATCTATCTATCTTCAGCCTCATCATTATCTATCTATCTATCTATCTATCTATCTATCTATCAATTTTCAGTCTCATTATTATCTATCTATCTATCTATCTATCTATCTATCTATCTATCTATCTATTCTGAACATGATTTTTACATTTACTTTTCATTCGTTGATTTAATTTCTAACTAGTGGGACAAAAATTTCAGAGGTACATTTGAAAGACTGTACTAATTGATAACATTTTCTTAGAAACGAAGAAAAAAGTGCTGAATGGCTATGTGATATTCATCCTCTTATAAGACTGAATGTTGAAAGATGTGGAGAGCCATGATGACTTACGTCTTGAAAAGACGTGGTACATAAAAGAAGAGTTCGATAGCATACCTCTCCGAAACCAATACGAGAACAAATAATAGAATAACGAATAAAAATTTAAATCGCTTTTTAATCGATACCGCTTAGTTTTAATTGATATATTTTATGAGGTCTGATAAAAAAAAAAAATTGGTATCGGAATCTATCTATCTATCTATCTATCTATCTATCTATCTATCTATCTATCTATCTATCTATTTGCTCATCTCTCTCTCTCTGCCTCTTTCTCTTCACATCTATCTATCTATCTATCTATCTATTGTTTAATAAGTTTAAAAGACAAAACGCGTCGACGAAAAAATTGTTTGTATCCTTATTTACATTCTATGCAAAAATAGACATGTTAATCTCTCATTCTTTCTTTCTTTTTTCTTTCTTTCTTCGGCCTCTTCATATCTATCTGTCTATCTCGGCTAAGATGTTTAATAATATTTAAGGACAAAACACGTCGCAGGAAAAATTGTTTGTATCCTTATCTATTTTCTATGCAAAAATCTATCAAATCCACAATTAAAATGAAGTAAAAATATTAGTGAGTAAATAGAGAGATATGTGGTGAGAAGAATGACTTCAACAAAGAAGCAAAACAAAGAGAAGTTAGTAGCGAATAAAGTCCAAAAATCCAATGAAGGAAATAATGAAGGAAAAGGAATGAAGAAAAAGCAGAAGGAAAAAGTGGAATGAAGGAAAGCGGAATGAAGGAAAATGGAATGAAGGAAAAGCGGAATGAAGGAAAAGCGGAATGAAGGAAAAGCGGAATGAAGGAAAAGCGGAATGAAGGAAAAGAATGAAGGAAATCGGAATGAAGGAAAAGCGGAATGAAGGAAAATGGAATGAAGGAAAAGCGGAATGAAGGAAAATGGAATGAAGGAAAAGCGGAATGAAGGAAAGCGGAATGAAGGAAAAGCGGAATGAAGGAAAAGCGGAATGAAGGAAAGCGGAATGAAGGAAAAGGGAATGAAGGAAAAGCGGAATGAAGGAAAAGTGAAGGAAAAGGAAAAAATGGAATGAAGGAAAAGCGAAGAAAATGGATGAAGGAAAAAAATGGGAAAAAGAAGGAAAAGCGGAATGAAGGAAAAATGGAATGAAGGAAAAGGAAATGAAGGAAAAGCGGAAAAAAGAAGAAAAAATGGAAGGAAAAGCGGAATGAAGGAAAACCGAATGAAGGAAAATGGAATGAAGGAAAAGGAATGAAAAAAGGAAAATGAATGAAGGAAAAGCGGAATGAAGGAAAAAATGAATGAAAAGGAATGAAGGAAAATGAAGGAAGGAAAAGCGGAATGAAGGAAAAGGAAAAAGCGGAATGAAGGAAAAGCGGAATGAATGAAAGCGGAAATGGAAAATGAAGGAAAAGCGGAATGAAGGAAAGCGGAATGAAGGAAAAGGGAATGAAGGAAAAAAGAATGAAGGAAAAATGAAGGAAATGAAGGAAAAAGGGAATGAAGGAAAAGGAATGAAGAAAGAATGAAGGAAAAGCAAGGAATGAAGGAAAAGGAAATGAAGGAAAAGGAAAAGCGGAATGAAGGAAAAAAGGAATGAAATGAAATGAAGGAAAAATGGAATGAAGGAAAAGCGGAATGAAGGAAAAGGGAAATGAAGGAAAGGAATGAAGGAAAAGAAGGAATGAAGGAAAAAGCGGAATGAAATGAAAAAAGGAATGAAGGAAAAGGAATGAAGGAAAAGGGAATGAAGGAAAATGGAATGAAGGAAAAGCGGAATGAAGGAAAAGAAATGAATGAATGAAGGAAAAGGAATGAAGGAAAAGCAGAATGAATGAAGGAAAAAGCGGAATGAAAAAGGGAAAGAAGGAAAGAATGAAGGAAAAGCAGGAATGAAGCGGAATGAAGGAAAAGCGGAATGAAGGAAAATGAATGAAGGAAAAAGCGAATGAAGGAAAAGCGGAATGAAGGAAAAAATGAAGAAAAGCGGAATGAAGGAAAAGCGGAAAAGGAAAATGGAATGAAGGAAAAGCGGAATGAAGGAAAATGAAGGAAAGGAATGAAGGAAAAGCGGAATGAAGGAAAGAAGAATGAAAGAAAGCGGAAATGAAGGAAAAAGAATGAATGCGGAATGAAAAGCGGAAAAGCGAAGAAGGAAAATGGAAAAAGGAATGAAGAAGAAATGAAGGAAAAAAGGAAATGAAGGAAAAGCGGAATGAATGAAGAAAAGGAAAATGAAGGAAAAGAAAGGAAGGAAAAGGAAAAGGAATGAAGGAAAAGCGGAATGAAGGAAAAATGAAGGAAAAGAATGAAGGAAAAGCGGAATGAAGGAAAAGCGGAATGAAGGAAAAGCGGAATGAAGGAAAAGCGGAATGAAAAGAAATGAAGGAATGAAGGAAAGCGGAATGAAGGAAAAGCGGAAAAGTGGAATGAAGGAAAAAGAATGAAGGAAAGCGGAATGAAGGAAAGCGGAATGAAGGAAAAAGGAATGAAGGAAAAATGAAGGAAAAAGAATGAAGGAAAAGGGAATGAAGGAAATCGGAATGTAGGAAAAGCGGAATGAAGGAAAAGCGGAATGAAGGAAATCGGAATGAAGGAAAAAGCGGAATGAAGGAAAAGGAATGAAAAAGCGGAAAAGGAAAAATGGAATGAAGGAAAAGGGAATGAAGGAAAAAGTGGAATGAAGGAAGAATGAAAATGGAATGAAGGAAAAGCGGAATGAAGGAAAAAAAGGAATGAAGGAAAAAGCGGAATGAAGGAAAAGGAAATGAATGAAGGAAAGCGGAATGAAGGAAAAAATGAAATGAAGGGAAAATGAAGAATGGAATGAAGGAAAGGGAATGAAGGAAAAATGGAAAGAAGGAATGAAGGAAAAAATGAAATGAAGGAAAAGGGAATGAAGGAAAAGCGGAATGAAGGAAAAAATGAAGGAAAAAGGGAATGAAGGAAAAGCGGAATGAATGAAGGAAAAGCGGAATGGAAGGAAAAGCGGAATGAAGGAAAAAAAGGAATGAAGGAAAAAGGAATGAAGGAAAAAAAATGAAGGAAAGTGGAATGAAGGAAATGAAGGAAAAGCAGAATGAAGGAAAAGCGGAATGAAGGAAAAAAAAGGAATGAAGGAAAAGGAATGAATGAAAAGGAAATGAAGGAAAAAAGGAAAAGGAATGAAGAATGAAGGAGAAAAGCGGAATGAAGGAAAAGAAGGAATGAAAAAAAGCGGAATGAAGGAAAAAGAATGAAGAAAAAATGAAGGAATGAATGAAGGAAAGCGGAATGAAGGAAAAATGGAAATGAAGGAATGAAGGAAAAATGAAGGAAAAGCGGAATGAAGGAAAAGGAATGAAGGAAAAAGGGAATGAAGGAAAAGCAGAATGAAGGAAAAGGAAATGAATGAAGGAAAAGGGAATGAAGGAAAATCGGAATGAAGGAAAAGAAGGAAAGCGGAATGAAGGAAAATGGAATGAAGGAAAAAAAGGAATGGAAAAAGGAAAAAAGCGAATGAAGGAAAAGGGAATGAAGGAAAAACGGAAAAGGAAAAGGAAAATGAAGGAAAAGTGAAATGAGGAAAAGGGAATGAAGGAAAGCGGAAATGAAGGAAAAGGGAATGAAAGAAAAGCGGAATGAAGGAAAAAGGAAAATGAAGGAAATGGAATGAAGGAAAAGAGAAATGAAGGAAAAAGAAGGAAAAAGGAAATGAAGGAAAAGAAGGAATGAAAAGGAAAAAGAATGAAGGAAAAGCGGAAGGAAAAGTGGAATGAAGGGAATGAATGAAGGAAAAGCGGAATGAAGGAAAAGGAAAAAGGAAAAGCGGAATGAAGGAAAATGAAGAATGAAGAAAAAAAAGAATGAAAGAATGAAGGAAAAGGGGAATGAAGGAAATGGAAATGAAGGAAAAGGGAATGAAGGAAAAGGAAAAGGAATGAAGGAAAAAGCAAAGGAATGGAAAAAAGGAATGAAGAAATGAAGGGAAAAGCGGAATGAAGGAAAAAAAATGAAGGAATGAAGGAAAAGTGGAATGAAGGAAAAGCGGAATGAAGGAAAAAGCGGAAAAGGAAAAGCGGAATGAAGGAATGAAGGAAAAGGGAATGAAAAGGAAAAGGAAAAAGGAAATGAAGGGAAGCAAATGAAAAGGAAAATGAAAGCGGAATGAAGGAAAAATGAAGAAATGAAGGAAAAGCGGAATGGAAAAGTGAAGAAGAAAAGCGAATGAATGAAGGAAAAGAAAAGAAGGAAAAGAATGAATGAATGAAGGAAAAGGAAATGAAGGAAATCGGAATGAATGAAGGAAAAGCGGAATGAATGAAAAAGAAAAGCGGAATGAAGGAAAAGGGAATGAAGGAAAAGGGAATGAATGAAGGAAAATGGAATGAAGGAAAAGGGAATGAAGAAAGTGGAAATAGGAAAAGAATGAAATGGAGAAAAAAGCGGAATGAAGGAAAATGGAATGAAGGAAAAGCGGAATGAAGGAAAAGCGGAATGAATGAAGGGAAAGTGGGAAAAAGAAGGAAAAAATGGAATGAAGGAAAAGGAAAAGGAATGAAGGAAAAGCGGAATGAAAGGAAAGCGGAATGAAGGAAAAATGGAAAAAAAAACGAATGAAGGAAAAGGAATGAAGGAAAAGGAAATGAAGGAAAATGGAATGAATGAATGAAGGAAAAAATGAAGGAAAAGCGGAATGAAGGAAAGCGGAATGAAGGAAAATGGAATGAAGGAAAAGGGAATGAAGAATGAAGGAAAAAGCGGAATGAAGAAAAGGAATGAAGGAAAAAGCGGAATGAAGGAAAAGGGAATGAAGAAAAAATGAAAAATGAAAAAATGAAAGGAAAAGTGGAATGAAGGAAAAGGGAATGAAGGAAAAACGGAATGAAAAGAAAAAAGCGGAATGAAAGGAAAGGGAATGAAGGAAAAACGAATGAAGGAAAATGAAGGAAAATGGAATGGAATGAAAAAGCGAAAGGAATGAAGGAAAAAGCGGGAAAATGGAAATGAAGAAGGAAAAGGGGAATGAAGGAAAAGGAATGAAGGAAAAGGAATGAAAAGAAAAAGGAAAGGAATGAAGGAAAAGGGAATGAAAAGCGGAAAAGGAAAGGGAATGAAGGAAAATGAAGGAAAATGGAATGAAGGAAAAGCAGAATGAAGGAAAAGCGGAATGAAATGGAAAAGCGGAATGAAGGAAAAGGAATGAAGGAAAAGGAAAAATGAAGGAAAGCGAAAGTGGAATGAAGGAAAAAAGGAAAAATGGAATGAAGGAAAAATGGAAATGAAGGAAAAGCGGAATGAAGGAAAGCGAAATGAATGAAGGAAAAGTGGAATGAAAATGAAGGAATG